GTAGACGACCTCTTCAAACTGAAATTATAGTTAGAAAGTGTATGTGTGTGTGTGTGTGTGATGAGAGTGAATCATGGGTTTCATGCACCGGGTACAAACTATGACTACTTAGACAAATGTCCAAATTTCTATTTCTAACTATGTATATTAGTCCATTTGTGTTACTAAGCAGAGAGAGAGAGAGGGAGACCTTTAAGGTTATGGGGTACAAGCTCCACTGTAGAAAGGAGGGCTGGTGGTCCTCGGGTCCATTGGCCTGACCTTCACTGTCATCGGTTTCCGATTTCGGAGCCACTGAACAGAGTGGCATGGCGAACATTATAATAGAAATATAATTTATTTGTTTATTTATTTCTTTTTAGTATATTGCAGTTGAGACTGGGGAGAAGGGAGATATTGTGAAGGAGCTGATTTTGAAATTTTGATGGTTTGAAATGAATTTAGGTGATATAAATATATAAGGGGAGGACTAGGAAACATACAAACATGGATCTCTCATGGAAATCAAAGTGTGTTGTGTAGGCCTAATTAGTCCTCCCTGCTTGGGCCCTCCATCTTTTTTTTTTAATTAATTTCTGTTAAATAATTATTATTTTTCGACAAAAACTCTATGGAGCCATAAAATAGTTTTTAATTGGTCAATGTTTATATGGATTTATACCGATTCAATAGTGTGACAGTAGTCATTTTATATTAAGTGGGTACTTTTGGTCTTTGGAAAAAAAAAACTGAATTTTGTAAAACAATACTAGTTTTACAACAGATAATACCACTTCGTCTTCTATGCAATACCAGTTATTGATAAACTAGTATCTACTTTGTAGAAAGAACAAAAAAATGATTATTTCAATTTTTGTCAACATTTTCAAAATTAGTACCAGACCTAGAGTAAGATAGTACCACAAATATGGTGTTTTAGTACTAGATATCGAGTCTTTAGTACCAATTTCGATGAACATATATAAAAAATGAATTTTATAAAATAGTACCAGTTTTACCATAAATAACACCACATTTTCTTCTATGCAATACCAATTAATGATCTTTTTTTTTTTACCAAAACGATAGATAATATTATAAATCAAAATGCACAAATGTGCGAATACACAGCAGCCAACGACTGAATACACAGCAACCAACAGCTGAAAAAGTGGAAGGACAGATCAGAAGACCGCCTAGAAACCACGCTAGCAACGCTAGAATAAAAAACACTCGCAACTAAACTAGCCAACAGCACAAACAACTAAGACTACTACCTGAGTGTCGGACCCCAACAGAGTAATACCCGAGTGTCGGACCCCAACAGGGTAATAAGGTGACACTCGAGCGTACAGAGTGACACTCAGGTACACAGAGGCTAACTGCCCAAACCAAAAACACAAACAAAGAGAACATCCAAAATGAAAACCTACTCAAAAGACACACAAAGCCCTTCCCCAACGAGATACCCGAACCCATCACAAGGCACCAACGAAATCAATACCAAACACCCTGTAGCTTGATGCGAAAGCCGGAACACCACTCCCGCCACTGCCTA